TTGCATTAAAGGAAAAATTACATTAAAGACATTTTTCAGAGTTTAAACCTAAAGAGTTTAGGTTTAAACCTGAAAGAGTTTAAACCTGAAAAGCTTCTTTTCACTTAATGACTATAGTAAGTGGTATGTTTGGAGAGTAGAAACTCTGAAGTTTTGTTTCTTTTTTTTTTGTAATCTTGCGCTACTTCTCCCTCCCCTCAAAAGAAATCTTTTATAGAAGCTACGATATTTTCCCTTGGTAAAATTAGTGTCCTAATTGGTGTACTGTGGGGCACTAAGGCCACTGAGATGCATTGTACTCTATAACTACACAGCATGTTGTTGTAAAATACAGTATAAAAAACCTCTTGGCATGTTCTGGCTTATGATGTTCCTGGACATACTGGTTTCATTCACATGCCATGGAAATTGCTGCCAGTATACTAATCTCTATAGGCCTTACCATAAAGATACCCTGCACTTGATTTCTGTTTGGTCTTATATTTAACATTTACTTAATTTTCTGCTACCTATATGTCCATGCAGATTTATAGGCCAGCTGGCCATGATAAATGTTTTTATAACAAAATGCCTTTCTACTACTTAAATGAACAGTTGTCATTGTGTTTGGCTCATGAGGCACTATTTAAAATGTTTTTAATTAAAGTTATCTTATAGCACTTAAAATTGTTTTGTATAAAATTTGCTGTAAAATTTGTAATATGGTCTAAGGGCTCTTTCTCCTTCATTACCATTTTTAAAAATGTTTTAAAAGCTAGAAAACATCCTGTATATATTCTGTATTTGTATAGCAGCACATTTCATTTATGGAAATATGTTCTCAGAATATTTATTTACTAATATATTTATCTTAAGCCATGTCCTATGTTGAGAGTGTGTGACATTATTGTAATAATGATTGAAAATCACTAACATGAGGCCCTGTAAATACATGATAATTGCACACAAAGATTTTACAGTACTTGCCGACCAAAAATGATTTAAGAAAAGTTGTAGTTACCTGCAGTTTTGTAAGAAAGTGTATAAATGTCTGTATAAAAAAAAAAAAAAGGCAAAATCACGCAAAAATACAGTTTTATTGCATATACATGTGGAAGTTGTCCTTCTTGGTGGCGGGGAGATGACAGAGAACTGTTTCTCAACATGCAGTCTTAGATGCACTGAAATGAACTATCGTCAGCAATAATCACTTTTGCTTTAAAAAAAGCCATATATGAACTATCATCAGCAATAATCACTTTTGTTTTTAAAAAAGCCATATATCTATGCATACAAAAAAAAGGTTGAAAGTTTAGAACTTTTTTTTTTTGGAGGGGGCTTCCTTTCATTGTTGAGGTTGAATATTTAAGGAATAACTTGGTTACAAAATGAGACTCTTGTGGGCACCATCAACCCACACAAAACCTTTGTGTTGTAGAAAAAGGCAAGCAGGAGCAGAAGCTTCTCAGTGAGATAATACGTGGTGTAATGATGTGTTTGTACACTCTTTCTTACTACGGCTCTATTTGACCTCTGTCAAATCCTATTCCTGCTTTTGGATAACATCATTTTTTACATAAGTTTTGCACAGCTGCATCTACAGAACTCAGTGCTCAGTGTTAAAACATTTTCTTTAGGACCCCCCCTTTGGTAGTGCCCAAGGGAAGGGTGGGTTTTAAAGAGTTGATTCATACTGTGCAGCATCAGCCTGGCCTAAGTCTTTGTCCAAGGAGACAAAAGAATACCTGAAATGGATACTTTATCTGGAAGTAGAACCTTTCTGCTTCTGGGTCTTAAGTTCTTCATACAAAAGTGTCTCTTTCACAATGAAGAATACATTTCCTGGATGGAGAATGAACCTAGTGCTTAGTACTAACAAAAAAGCAACAGGTCCCAGAATAGTTAGAATCATAAGAGGAGTCCTGTAACCTGAAAGGCAGGAAAGGACAGCAAAGTGATCCTCCTTTCTCCCTGCAATAATAGGCCAATATCTGTTTGCCAGTATTGTCTCTAAGAGAAAAAGAGGAGAAAAAAAATAGTCCTGACAAATGAAAAGCTGAGGCACTTTCAGTATCTGACACTGGATTCAGATATTTACATAAATGCATTTGCATTTGAAGATTTCTATGACTGTACCATTATTTGGTTCAGAAGAAAATATTACTAGAGGAACTGATGAATCTCACCAGTGGAAATGTTTTCCTCTAAGTATTAAAAGAGTGTGTTGAAGTTGTAAAGAAAGCCATGGAACAATTGTAAGAGCTAGTTCTGACAGACGATGAAGCTGTCTGAAGGCTAAGCTAAAAAGCCAAATAATTGCTAAGCTGAACATTTCAATTCATGATTATGTTAGAAAGTGCCTTACAGGTTAGTTTTTACATATGTAATTATTCTCCACAGAAAATAATCCTGCTGTGATCTGCTGATGAACCTGCAGCAGTTTTTGCCACCATTATGCAATATTTTGCTACCCCTTAATAATGGTAACAGAGTCCTCCTTTAGAAATTCCCAATTTTTTTTTTTTTTTTTTTTTTTGTAATAATTACTTACAGGTCATACTTGCAGAATGACCACATACAGTCACAGCACATATTTCATTGGTGAGTCATTTCAAGTTTGATTTGTTCTATTTTCTTCTCTGTTATTTGGTTCATGCGATATCCTCTGAATTTACCATAAATTGTCTTGAGAGTGGAATGTCGGATTGCATCCCAAAACAGTTGCTCAGTGAAGTTGAGAAAGTATGAGTTGTATTAATTCAGGAGGGATATTGTAGAAAAATGGCACAATCTGAAAGCAATTCTATTTTTCCTCAGAATTTCAAGGAAGCAGAATGATAAACTTGCTCCAAAATTCAGATGAAACCATATCATAAGAATATATTGCATGGGAAGAAATATCACTGCAAGTTATTAAGAATCAGTTGGACAAGTATATGCCAAAAAAAGGTTTTTTTGTAGTTGACATTGTCCTGAGGCAAAGTATACTAGAAAATCTGCTAGGATTCTGTCCCACTGCTACAGAAGGTTTATTAAGCAGAAGATGAAACTGGAATAGCTAGTCAGTCGTGTTAGGTGGCAGCCAAGTGTTGCTTTTCACCTATAGTTGCACAGGATTAAGATTCAGTGCAGCAAAAGTCACATTTATACTATTATCAGGGAAACTTGGCACGCAGTGACTGACATTCTGCAATAAAATTGGGTGAGCAAGKCCCTCAGCTAGCTGTAGAAAATATGGCAGAAACTGGCCCAAGCTAAGATGATGATGTTAATGCTTGGTTGAAAAGGGAAGTATTAAAAGTTATCATAGTCTTGAGAGTAATGCATATGTGCTTGGGTTTGTGGAATCTGACAAACAGACTAATACCACGACAAGCTGGATTCATGAGAATCATCAGGTTCATGAGAATCATGAGATTCAAAGGAAGAAAGTATATCTCGAACAATTATTTCATGCCTATCCTGCTACAAAACTGTGAATTTGAATATTTAGTATTCATCTGTCACCTATATACTGATGAATTATCTGGAAATGTTCTATTTACCATGTATAGAACTTTAATTTTCCCCAAATATAAGCGAAGAGTTTTTCTTTCTATGAGATGTTAGCAAGATACAAGCATAATATGCTGTATTAAATAGTGCATTTCCTATACATGTATAAATATATATATTATTGTAGATAACACACTTATATTTTTAAATAACACCATTTCTGTCCCTCTCCAACATTACAATATTAAGACAATATAAGTGCATTTAAAAGCATTTAATCAATAAGCCATGCTAGTTTTAAAAGCAAGATTTAGAATCAGGGAGGCTCCCTGTCACCTGAGATCTGCATGCTTCCCAGGCTGCTCTGTAAAGAGAGCAGGCAGCTTTCCAGCCAGCACAGGGGGGAGTATCAGCCCATGTTCCCTGCTCCTGCTCTGCATCTTTTTCCTATAGTTATTTTCCAACAGTACCGGTCTGTATGACAAAGTAGCTCAAAGTGAGGACAATTATTAGTCAAACATGGCAAGGCAGCGATATGAGCACAGCAGGGTGGGGGGCAGCCAGTGTGGGAGTTACAGGTGGCTACTCCTGAGTTGTTTTCTCACAAGAATTGCTTTAGAAACTGTGGCCCATATTTTATTTGCAGTCTGCCTAGCCTGTTGACAGAGCTGACAGAAAGGAGGCCAGGAGGCTGCTGAATTAAAATTCCAGACAAAATCCTGTGCTGCAGTTATTTTTGATGTGTTGAAGCAAGTGCCGTAAGCACTAGTGTGATCACACCTGCAGAGCTGAGATAACTCAGCTGCCAGCACCTGGTGGGGGGTTATATGTGCATTGTGCAGGATTGCAGCAGGTGTGCATGTCAGGCTTCTTCTGTTTGTTATAGCTAAGATTGTGCTGTGCTAATGCATACTGTGCATGTTGGCTATATGGACTGGGAGTGCACGTGACCATACCACATTTTGAAAGGCTCCAGTGCAGGTCTACATACTGTTTAGGAGCTGGAGCCTCTAAGAAAGTAGTGTTGTATAGGGACTCGTCTATGCATTTCTATCTGTTCCTTTGTTTCCTGATATAAGATGCTTAACTGCTCAAGTACATTTGCTAAGTCAAGAAAATGAAGTTTCTCTGTATGTTCTTGYAATTTTTCAGGTAAGGACCTAGCTTTACTCTCTTGCTCTCTCCTCTGCAGTTAGCTGGTTTGTTTTCCACTGCTGGACCATATTAAACATGGAGAAGAAGAAAATTCATTTGTTTTGGTGCAGATCTGTGAAGAAGAATGCCTGATGCAAACCTTGAGTATTAAAACAGGAATTTTAGAATTTGTGTTGATTCTGGAAAAAAAAAATCACCTATTGACACTCAACAGAGAATCAATATATTTTACAAATCTTCTACAGCTTTTGACTTTTGGAAGTACTGTACTTATCTTTCCCTGTATTTTTTTCCAGGAAGGTTGTGCAAGAATGTAATTGCTGTCTTAGTAAAGTCTTGCCCATAATAAGCATTTGTTTTGAAATGGTTCAGCTGTCCCTGGCACTCATCTGTAGTACATGAATGGAGCTGGGTTGAATTTAACTCAGGTAAAAGACTAGGTCCACATTGTCAAGCAAGGCACAATGTTTTTATTGTTTTCTCTTTTAGGTATCCTGTTGGGGAAGGATCTTGATAGCCGTAAGATGGGAAGGGCTGGGGAGGGAAACGAATATCAAAAACAGAATTGCAGGTGCTTGCTATAATGAGCACACACAGTAAAAGTCTTATTTTTCTTAGTTAACTTTTGCCGATCCATGTAATGCTCACTCTGAGACTGCAGGCCTGGTATATTGACGACTGCTTTATATTTAAACTGGTATTTATTCCTTTCCTCTTAGCAAGAATTACTGGACCTCAGGGGTCCTCACTGGATTTCCTCTGACTTAGTCTGAGAAACTGCTCACTCTCAGTTTTTCAGTTCATTTATTTGTGCCGTTTTGTCTTTTTTTTTCTATCTGTTGCTGGTCAGAACTTACTGAAGCTGAAAGACATATTGATGAGTCCCATTAGTTACAGCAAATATTCAAGCATTGTAGATAGAGTCTGTAAAACTCTATTGGTCTAATTTTGGTCTTCCAAAGAGAAAACAGTGCTGTTTGTTGGTGAGCAAGAAAATTCTTTCATGGATGGATTTGCAGTGATATTTCAGTTCTCTGACAGCGAGGGGTGTTAATCCTAAAACCACAACTTGTTTCTCTGCTGGGGATAGGGGATCATCTCTGAGGAAGGCATCACAGCAGCTGCGTTTCTTGTTCTTTGCAGTGAGATCATCTCATCTAGATGCGCAGCCTGGTATACCAAGCTATCTGTGGCAGGCAGTTGAGAAAGCTTCAGAATACCTTGCTGGTACTAAAGATTTTTTGCTGAGAAACATGTTTTCCATCTGCTTTTCTTTGAAGTCTCAGCACTGAAGAGGAAATCTGAGGTGTGGCTGCAGGGATGAATGTTTTGAAACGGAGAGAGATGGTGATTTCCTGGAAATTTCACAGAGGAGGAGGAGCAACAGCCTGGTGGACAGCAAAGACCTCCTAGTCACTACAGAAGCTGTTACCTCTTCAGTCGAGACTGAAGTTCAGAGCCAACAGCAGCTTTTTCAGCAGCACCCGAGACTGTAGAAGGATGTGATGAATTTTGACTTGCAATATCCCCACACCAGAGTGCTGGTAGCTTGGTGAGAACACAGTATTTCACTGGATACTGTAACAAGAGAAGTAAAGGCCATTGCCAAATCTATTACGCAGGGGCTAGCTATAGAGTTCAAAGGAAAAAAAAAAAAGGCTTCTTGCTACCTATTTTTATATGATTCTACATCTCACATTCCCTCTCCTACTCCCCGTCTTCACACTCATCACCTCTAGCAAAAGCATTAACCCAGCTGATAAATTTCTGAGCTCAGTAGGCAAGTCTATATTGCCTGTTTGGATGTGGAAGGCAAAAACATATTATCAAGCAGGTTGGGACAGCCTGCTGTCTAAAATCATGTTCATTTTTCCTATGTGCCTTTCAAAAGCTGCAAAGACAACTCCTGACAGACAGTTCAACCAATCAGCTTAATTACAAACTGCAAAAAGAGTAATCTTAATTGCCATCAACTAACTTGCTGCAAAATTGTACAGTCTTGCTCAAATTAAAGCACAGTTCTCAGTTTGTTTTGGATGACGTTCAGTGTAATTGTCCTGGAGCCAGTTTTTGGACTCCTGTCTTTTCTATCATACCTGAGAATAGTGAAGGATTGTGGAGAGTCAGTAATAAAATAGCACAGGCTCCCAGGTACTCTAAGCTGCCACTGATGCATTTCCAAGGGCAGTGACAGTATTATCACATCCTCTGAATCAGACAGCATAAGAGGGAACTTTTTCTCATGATACGCTTGGCAATTCTATCCAAAACTGCCTTCCACCTAAACATCGGCTACCTCTTTGTCCTCACACCAGTCTTTTTCATTTTGAATCTGATGCATTTATTGATTCTTAACTGACTTTGCAGTTACTTGTCCCTTGCAATTATTTTCCTCTCTTGTCTGATTTGAGCTTTGCTCCGATTGTTTAGGTTGCATATTTGAGGCACTCAGAGTTTCACAGCCCAGCTGTGCCACCAGCTCCCTGTGTGTCTCAGTGGTCTGGTATGAATAGACTAGGCAGCCCATGCTGGTGCTGCTCTAATCTGGTCTCCACGGTCTGGGAAATATGTGATGCCCTTTAAACATGCTGATACAGCCATAAGAGAAGCAGGTGTGGAAGCTGAATTTATGTAGGAATCTCCAATACAGTAAACTTCAAGTCTGATGTCTAGGCACAAGATATATAAGAGCACAAGTGAGGATGAAGCACCGAGTTATAGAATCTATGGTTTGGTTTCTTCAGCTGCTCTTACCACAGAAAGAGCATTTTTAAATGACAAAAAATACAAGGCCTATGTAATTCTTTGTTTCCTTAACTAGATTTTTAAAAAAGCAAGCTTTGTTCTCTATCAGATGTCCCAGTGAAGAAATTAGTGAGATTAATTTCTTATGTAACGTGAGATTTTTCTTTCTGTGACACATTTCAATTTGTTCATCCAGCAAGGTGAGAAGCACTTTGGGTTTTGCATCCTTTCTTTCTTGACAGCAGCGCACTAGGTGTGTGTAACCGTGCACACTGCAGTTCAGAGTCTGGGCAGTTCAGGTGGCTACAAGCTCTCGTAGTTCACAGTCTTTCAAGACAAAATGCAACATAAACTTGCTCATGCAAGTATTCAGCAGTTTTAGCTTGTGGTACTTCTTTTTGAAAAACTCCTATTCATGTTGTGGTCTTCTAAGAAAACCACACACTATTCTAAGATTTGTGGCTGTAAATTAGTGATTTTAGCCTTAGATTGCCTATTTGTCTTATGTGGACGGTGTTACGCTGTATCACCATTCAGTAACTATTGCAAACCTACAGTGCTATTTTTTTCTATAGAGACCAGTCACAATGAGAGCTTTAACCTCAGAGTGAGAGGATGTGATGGTAAGCCTCATTATCTAAGATTTCAGTGGGTTTATATTTTCCTTGAACAATTCTTTAAAAAGCCCTATGCTCACATCCAGATTGAACTGAAGACTTCAGACTGGAGTAAGATGGTTTGTGAAAGAATCGCTTGGGAACATGATGAAAATCATCCTAACTGYAGTGATTCTGATGCCTCAGACATACTTGTTTGAAAGTTTTAATTCTTCGAGCTGGTAAGCATTACTCCTTGGAAACCCACACTTGGCAGCTGAAGCTCTGCAAAGCTTTCTCCTCCTGACTTTGATTCGATTTTTGTGTATCTCCACTTGTAGGAGCAGAACATGTGGAAACACTGGTGCCCAGGCTCATAACTTCTTAAGTGTCTTGGACTCCCAATTTCACTATGCAGTACCATTTAAACACATTTACACTAAGGCCAAGTAAACTGTAGTTGTGTGGTAGCTGAACAGATATCGTCATCTAGCTCTCATTTTAATCTTGGGACTAAAATGGCCTGATGTAACATAGCAATACAGGAAGACAAAAATTCCCCAGTCTGCTAATGTTCATTCAATTAACTTTTRGCATGTGTGCAGAATTTTTTGAATGTTTAAGATTTTGACATGTATTTTAAGTACATTGGTTTAAAGGCAGTAATTCACAGCATGACAGATTTGATGAGCACAAATACTTCACAACTATTGCAGCAGTTAATTCTGCTGCCACCTGAATACACAAAAGAACAACAGATAGGTAAAGTCATTCAAAGGCCTTTAGAAATGGAGTTTTTATGATACTGTAAGGAAAATATGATTTTTCCCAAATTACCTGGAATTTAAGAAGATTAATCTTGAAAAAATGAAAGACACTTCAGTTTCCTACTAGTGGGTTGCGATCATCTTGTTGACTTCGAAGCTTTTTCTTGAAGATAGAGATGGAGGTGGAAGGTTCATAAAAAATACTCCAGATCTCAGTAGCAGTAGTTGTTGGGTGGGAATCTTCGATTTCAGTGGCAGATGATATCTGATGGGACCTAGAAAACAAGTGCTATTTCACTAGAAGTGTTAAGGTGTTTGGGAAGATGCTATTATCAGTATGTCTGTGTAACTGCTGTTATGGTAATGCCAGACAATTCTACTAAATCTGTGACACCTTTCGTCTGCCTGCTGCAACTATGAAGGGTTTAAGAGTGTTTATAGCTGTGGTTGCTTTTTTTTCTTTTTTTTTTTTTTTTACCAACATGATAATTCTATTATCAATTACTATAAATATGAATTTGTTTCCTTGTATATTTAAGCTACTTGGTGGTAAGTAAATACAACATTTAACATTTGTGATTTGTTCATAATTCTTCCATTTCATTTGAGAATTTCACTTGATGTAGGTGTAGAAAAAAGCTGTAATGAAATAATCTTGTTTTAATAGGTTTAAAATATCAGCTGGTTAAATTTTGTGACATAATACAGATTTTTCCAACAGAATTAATTTTGAGATTCATTTTGAAAGAAAGTATTATAGAAATTTGAAGGTTTTTATTTTTACAAACTATTAACATAATTTGACCTCTTCCAATGAATTTAAGTGATTGATTACTTATTTTTACTGGAAAGTTTAGAAATATGCTTGTTTTATATCTTCTTTGAATACACATATAGGTAGCATATAACTTGGTTCTGAATACAGCAAATATGACAGTACCAGCAGGCAGGAAAAGGAAGGAGACCTGTACTAGTACAGAGCTGAGATTCTTCAAGGACAGGTTTGCTCCATACTCACTTCATGGAAATGTGAAGAAATATCTTTGCCAATATGGCTGTAACACTTAGGATGAGGAGTGCTGTGAGACCATATATTGTCCATTCTGTGGGAAACAAAAGGGAGGAAGGGAGGACTCCTGGCATATTAATTTATTTACACTTTTTAAAGGAAGAATATTACAGAATAGAAACACATAGCTTTTTGATGCTTTATTCATAACTGTGATTTGTGGATAGCTTAGACCTTTAGCAAGCAACTGGCAGAATGACTAAGCATGTTGGGTTTTTCCTCCCTTTTCTGAGTCTACTGAGACTTCTAATCACTTTTCCTGCTGTTATTTCACTGCCTCTCATAAGTGGTTCTTAGGAACCACTTAGGAGCTGGAAACATAATATTTGAAATATTTTAAATAGAGGGGATCTCTATTTTAAATAGAGGGGATCTCTGATTTCCAACTATTATCACTTCTACATTCAGATTTCCACTCCTGGCAATAAGAGGTAAGAGCAACTCAAGATGGGAAACAGAACTGCGACAAACACAGCTCCCTGGATGGTGTTGTCAAGCCCTGTAGCTACTGGCACAGCTGAATACGGGCTGGCGCCTTCAGAAGTCCTAGAGCTCAAAGCAGCAGTTAGAGAAAGTCACTCCCCCACTCTCCAGCCTCTTCTTCAATGCAAAGATTGTTCATGATGATTTAACAGGATTTTTGTACTGCCCAAAACCCCAAGGGGCAGTTTCATCTCATCTAGATATGTCCAAGGTAGCTTTACAGGAGACAAATGTAGCATAGCTTTGGTTAACTTGGACTCTCACCTGGGCCAGTGGGAATATCTGGCTTTACGGGCGTGCTCTGCTGCTCAAGCTGAAAGTAGGGATACCAAAATTCATACTATTATCAGCAAATAATTTAGCTAGTTTGGGTAAATGCAGCTGATCTCCATCATACCCTTGGACTTCACAATTGGGATGCAGATGCACCCTGAAGACTACAGATCTGTTAAGGGTGTCTGTACCAAGACTGAAGAGCAGATACCCAGAAATATTTAAAGATAGGACAAACCAGTTGTGATATTTTAATAATACACTTCCAGTTTCCAATTATTTGCAACTCAGAAATTTCTTGGATGATGTGGTCTCCTGATTGTGATTTCTAGATCTAGCTCTAGATTTATAGTTCTCAGTAGCATTATTTCCACCCAATTAACTTGCTTCATCATCATCATCTAGCCTTCTTTGTAGCACTACTGCAGCTTTTCAGGAGGAATGGGGCTGCATACAGCCTTCAAGCTATTTTAAGACCCTGTAAAAACTTGCTTGTTTTTCAAAAGACTTCATCACCTCTACAGCATGTGCTGGTCACTGAAGTGAATAATGCTGGTTATGGTAAGGAGGCTGCTCTGAGCTGCCATTTCATTTTACTACTGCAAAAAAAGGGTTTTTTTAAGAAAAGTAAACCCAACATATTCCGAATATTTTTAAATGATTTATTGCAAGAAGTAAGCTTTGAAAAGTAATAGCATAATTAGCTATTATTAGACTAACTGCAACTTCCAGCAGCTATTCATAAGAGGATCCATGGATCAGATAATGTGAGGGAGCAGTAAGAAGGAACAATGACTCTACATATTTTTTCCTATTTAAACATTCCCTTGTAATATTACCAGGCATGGAACTGCTAGGATGACTTGGGCTGGTTGTGATGACATAAAGTATCTTTGATGACCGGGCTGCATTGATGCTGAGATTTGCTTTTTCATTTATCTTCTCTGAAAGCGTCTGATTGATTGGAATTTTGTTTTCATGCATATTGTCTTTGATAGCTGCAAAAACAAGTGTGAGTATATTAACCGCTTCTTAACAGATTAAATATAAACCTACAGATTAATGTAAAGACTACATTTTGTGTTTGTAACCAGGCTTTTGCTTTTCTTCATTTTAATTGGAGAAATCCAATAATCTAATGGCATCTGCTGCCAGAAAACTCCTAAAAACTATATTTGTACACAAGTACAAATACATTTGTACACAAGTTGTACACAAACTCCTTGTACTACACCAAGTTGGATTTTCAGGGAATTCTCATGGAAGCTAATTGTTTTTAATACCAGCAGGTACAGCTGAAGACCTAAACAATTTTTTCCTGATGTCTTGCTGGAAAACAGAATAGACTATTGGAAATATCAGAGATGAACCAAAGATGTAGACGGACTATGACAGTTTTTCTTTTTCAACTTTGCTATTTTCAGACCTATAATGATGAGAGGTACAGGATTGGATTTTGGAAATTTTAAAGTTCTCTTGTTTATAACATACCTGATCAGAGTATTCAAAATTAAGAGAAATTTTAGCAGCAGCTTTTACCCACTGAGCAGTAAGACAGATGAAAAACCCGTAGACTTAAAATACTTGCTCTTTCCTTCACATCAGAAACCACATGTGTGAATTAGAGGTTTTAACGGCACACTGAAAGTTAGGAACAACAAATTTAGCTTCTTACCTCTGTATCTGATGGCAAAACCCTGGGCTTGATTGATTTGATCTGAGAAAAAGTACAATATGACAAAATCCAAAGAGATGTTAAAGGAGTGGGGAGGCTGGTTACTGCCATTAAAACGAGCTAGGACATGATGGGTGTAGCCATCCAACAACTCCACCATATCTGCAGCATCTTTGATTTCAAAAAGGACAAAATTGAAGTGGATCTGAGATGCTCCTGGAACTTGTATGGTCCAGTAACAGACTCTGTCTGTGCCATATAAGTCAGGAAAATCTGGGGAGTAGATCACAGCAGTAGCAGAAGTGTAATTCCCTCCACAGGCACCAGTAAGGGCTATGAAGAGAGGGAAGACAAAAATGGGGGGAGGGGGGAGAAAAAGAAAAATTGTTGCAAGTTATACATGCATTATGCACAACTTCTGCAGTCAGTGCATTCTAAGATGCAAATCTTAGAATGGCTTCAAGGCAGAGACATAAATACAGTCTTATGTATGCAGAATACATAAATCCTACATTGGTTTCTCCGTCTTTCTCACCTGCTGAAGTTATCTGACTGTATTTGCTGCCTTTKAAAACCTTCAAAATCCAAATCAAAGCTGATCTGTAGGTCTCATTGGCAGAAGAAAGGAAAAGATATGGAATATTACTAGCTGGATAGATGAGGGGAGAGCAGTGGATGTCATCTATCTGGATTTTAGCAAGGCTTTTCACACCACCCCTCACAATACTCTGCTGGGCAAGCTCTGGAGGTGTGGGATAGATGAATGGACAGTGAGGTGGATTGAGAACTGTCTGGATGGCAGAGTTCAGAGGGTTGTGATCAGTRGCACTGAGTCCAGTTGGAGGCCTGTAGTTAGCCACATCCCCCAGGGGTCAGTTCTCATTCCAGTCCTGTTTAATTTATTCATCAATGACCTGGATGAAGGGATGGAGTGCTCCCTCAGCATGTGTGCTGCTGATACCAAATGGGCAGGAGTAGCTGATACCCTAGAGGGCTGCACTGCCATCCAGAGAGATCTGGACTGATTGGACAACTGGATGGTGAGAAACCTCATGAAGTTCAACAAGGGCAAAGTGCAAGATCCTGCACTTGGGGAGGAATAACCCCAGCCAGCAGTACAGGCTGGGGACTGACCTTCTGGAGAGCAGCTCTGTCGAGAGGGACCTGGGCATCATGGTGGACAAGAAGTTGACCACGAAGCAGCAATGTACCCTCATGGCCAAGAATGCCCAACGGGATCCTGGGCTGCATTAGGAAGAGCGTCTCCAGCAGGTCGAGAGACGTGATCGTCCCCCTATACACAACCCTGGTGAGACCACATCTGGAGACGGTGTCCAGTTCTGGGCTCCCTAGTGCCAGAAGGATGTGGAGCTGCTGGAGAGAGTCCAGCACAGGGCTACGAGGATGATCAGGGGCCTGGAACATCTGCCCTATGAGCAAAGGCTGAGAGAGCTGGGCCTGCTCAGCCTGCAGAAGAGAAGGCTGAGGGGGCATCTGATAAGTGTATACAAATACCTCAAGGGAGGGAGTGAGGAGGATGGGGCCGGCCTCTTTTCAGTTGTGACCACTGATAGAACTAGAGGAAACAGCCACAAACTGAAGTTCTGCAGGAACTTACGGAAACATTTCTTAACAGTGAGGGTGACAGAGCACCTGGATCAGGTTGCCAAGAGAGGTTGTGAAGTCTCTTTCTCAGGAGATCTTCCAAACCCACTTGGACACAGCCTGTGCCACATGCTCTAGGTGACCCTGCGTGTGCAGGGGGGTTGGACTAGATGATCTCTAAAGGTCCCTTCAAACCTTAAGGATTCTATGATTCTATTTTTACTTAGAGCTGCTAATACAAATTATATGGTCTTCTTTTCTCTGAAAATTTKTTAATGGAGGCCTATGAGAACATTCAGCTCAAATTAAAATAACAAAAGTGATATCTTTATTTTTTGCTTTTCACTAGTCTCTGAGAAAGAACTTTAATAAATACAAGTTAAAAAGGAGCTGTGGAAAAGAGAAAAAGAACTAAAAGTGTGCCAGAAAAAAATATGAAAGCACTTCTCTCTTTTTTTTATGGAGAAAGGCCTGACCTCACCATAGCAGCAAACCTTACACTTCAGTGCTGTGCTATGGAAAAGTCCATAAAGGAACTGAAAGAATCTGAAAGAATGAGAAATACTGCGTAGAGGTGCTAAACTTCACAGATGAATTTGGCACTTACACCACCCTAACAGAATGCTGAAATGATAGAATTTAAATTTGACATTTAGATATTTGGTCAAAGATATTACATTTGGCTGACCTGTTTGAAATTACTGAACTGCAAGATGTTCCAGAAAAAAAAAAAAAAAAAAAAAAAAAAAAACCAAAGCACAGCAATATTAACAAAGAAAAGCAATAATTAGCGCTCCACCATTGCCTAAAAAAGTACAGCATCTTCCCATTTAGGAGGCCACAAGCAGAATGAAAAAGAGAATACAGAAGTATGAGGGCACATACTATTGCAATATTGAAAGCAACTGAAATGCTCTCTAGGAGAGAAGAACTTGGAAAAAAGTGAGCAAAACAGCAAATTCCCTCAACTGAAATACCTTCCTCTCTCACTACTTGAGAACCCTAGTTTTACAGTAAGATGGTGGCAGGCTTGGATGTGTGTTCAAAAGCTGCAATATGATGCCTGTTTTATTCCAGAAAGTTCACAGAAACACTTTAAAAGTAGATCCTACATCAGAGGCAGATACGATCTGAGAATCCATGACATAAGTACACACTGTGGACTAATGCGGTCCCCAGCTGTACTGGCAGCCTATGCTGTAGCCAGCCATCAGGGTGCTCACACCTTCCAGCTGTGGCGATACACAACTGGCGCTGGCAGATGTACTGGAAAGGAGTGAGGAAGTGAGGAGGTCCATGTCTATGAAATTATGAAATCATGATGGTCCTAATGGTGAGCTGGCTGTACACCCTGCTGCTCTCACAATTCTATTGTGTTGCTTCATGTGTGTTACTGGCTTTTGGCAATTCTCACCTGGCTTAATTAAAAAGACAAAATAAAACATTTTTTTTTCACACAATGAAGTTGAAATTTTACTCAAGATGTCTTACTTAATTGTTTATCTATGTTCTGGGAAAACCAGTTCTGAAAGAGCCTTTCTACAACATGCTGTTTGTGCAGGATAAGTTAGCACCATTTGTGGGAAAGTAAGATACAATCTCTGGTGCATAAGTCAGCTGCCTGAACAGGCATCATTTTCTGGAAGAGCTATCTCATACTACTAATGTCTGCAAATTATGTGCAGAAGGGAACACAGCTTTCTTTTATGCTGAATTTAGGTGTCTTGTTCTTTTGCATGCAACCGTTCTCATAGCCTTTAAAAACCTTTCCCCCAATTTGTTGAACACTTGAAGCCTCTCCTTTGGGAAAGGTCAGCCCCTTTCAATACTTACTGTCAAAAAGAATGACTCTGCCATCCCCACCACAAGGCTGTGTATGGTCTCCAAAGCAAACACTGTTGCATTCCGTACTGGCTGCCTCCCCATATCTCCAGTAGTCAGGATTATTTCCACAGAAACAGGCATAACCTGATTCCATGCCTGCAAACTTTGACAAAAAAGATGAATAAGATTTCAATAAGATTTCAAAGGGCAACAGAAGTAGATTGCACGAGCAAGAAAGTCGATATTAGAGCATGTGTCCTTTGGAGAAGAATGATTAGTTGGAGGCCCACCATTAACTGTACATTTGAGCTGTTAGAATGCCACTTCAGGCTAGAGAGGGATGAAAGGCAGTAGAGCATCCTGTCACTCATAGATACAGTAAGCATAAACATAGAGTCTTACATAAAGTCATAAACTGTAAACATACAGTCTTCTGGCACACAAAACTATTAGTATTAGTATTGCTATTGCCCAACTTGCTGTGGATGCAGAGAAGGGGCTCCCTGAAGTGGGAGTGAGGCATTAAACATTCTGGACTTCCTGAAGAAAAAAAAAAAGGCGGGAGGGGGGGAAGAAGTTTAAAAAAAAAAAAAAAAAAAAAAAAAAAAAAAACGAGTATGGCAGAGGAGTCCAGGCAAAATCTTTGAAAAGATTTTGTAACTGCACGTCAAAAGAAGTCACCTTGAATTGCTGACGTCGGCAGGAACTGATGCATGTTTGTATAGTAAGTTTATTGGAGGTTTCGGTGGTGCCAGTCAAGGGTGGTGGCTCTCCATGGTCCTTGAAACAGCCTAGATTCCCTGGCACTGGCAAGAATAACAGAGAATAATCATTTCAAAGGTGTGCCTAGAAACATCAAGACATAGGTATGTACTTTATGTACTATCTAGTTCCTGAGGAGCTCTCTGTACTTTCCAGTATTGTTGCTGCAGTATGAGAAATATTACTCTTTTGTCATGTTTTCCAAACATGGCCAAGGATAGAAGACAGGCAGTGAAACAGCATCACATCATCTAAAAATACACCTCCAATACTCTGTGATTGACGGACAGTATATAAATGCCTGATTCATCTCTCCTGACAGCAACAATTAAAAAAAAAAAAAAAAAAAAAAAAAGATAAGGATGTTCAGAACTTTTTAAGTGTAAGTTTGGTTTGTGTTTTTTTGTGGGGGTAGGGGATAGGAAGAGGGAATAGAGAAGTGTTTATTTGAACAATGTGACATTAAAGAATATGATGTGTGTTAGACCATCAAAACAGTGTAGTTCTCTAAAGGAGACAGCTAGGAAGAACACCTAAATTGATTCAGGATGGTGCTTGTTAAGTTTTATGGGAGGGAGTGTATATTTACATAGGAGAATTAAATGAGATTCAGAACAAAAATTTTAATATGAATTTCAGGTATCATATTTTAAAGTATATACAAAGAGTTTTTAAAGGATCTATATTTCCCTTTAAAAAATACATTTATATTACATCAATCCAGTGTTTCAAGGCTCTGGTTACAGTGGAAGATCAGAAAGATATTTTTCCCCTTTCAATATATAATTTGTCCTCTGTTTTTGTTTTCTTTTGTTTTTGCACTTTCCTTCATTACAGTGGAATCTAGCTGTAACTACCAGAAACAGGATGTGGGGTAGAATATACTGGTGTGCTAATGGTATAAAATTATGCTTTTGTATCATTGGCACGTCTCCTCACATACTTTTGGATTTAAATCTGTCACCATCTCTGTGGTCAGGTGAAATTTTTTCCCCATGCCAAGTTGACAGGGATTATTACCATTCCCTAACCTCCACACTTCTGCATAGGTATGTGATGCAGTCCTATATCAAAGTTTAATGACTCCATCATCCTTTAGTTCACTACCCAGTGCACTGATGAGGTCTCTGAACTCTATACTAATGTCTTGTGGCATGGCGCAACTTCTTGTTTTTGACTCGCGGATAGTTTTGGGGGAAATGTTTTGCAGCCTCTAATGACTGATGATAGCATGTGGATTAGATGTCTTGTGGTTCTTTTTGAACTAGTTGTCTCTTGCACAGCTGCCTCCTTCTGAGAAAGACTGGACATGATGAGGCATGCAGCTCTTTTCTCTGTCAGCTAACCTATATGTTAGTGTACTGACTATTACTCTACTTTCACATAGAAATAATGGGACTGCAATGATTCTTCTTTGTAAAGAGCAGGCTTGTACAGCAGTCATGAAAGCATCTTATTGCATTATGTAAGTCGCAGTTCTGGGGTTTCTTATACACATCCACCTGTAACAGGAATTCAAATAATGACCTCAGTTCAGAAATTAGAGTAAATATGATCATATTCATAAGGAACATGATTATAATATCACAGAGAAGAATAAAGGAAATAAAATAGTGGGGAAGAAATTTTAAGTTAAGGTTTTTTTTTTTTTTTTTGAATAAGTGGATAATGTTGCTTCAAATATTAACAAAATAGCTGTTTTTGAAGGATGATACAATTTCAACTTTAGTTGCTTTCATGGAGCTATGCTCTGATATGCCTTGCAGCAACATGTTTCTAAGTACTCAGATCTCAGGTTACAGACTAATTTAACACTCTGCTGGGGATTTTTACTTGGAGTCCCATCCCAGCTGAATACAGCTGGGCAGATAATTCTCAGAGAGCTCAGTTTTCTGTACTGTGCATGACTGCACATCCCAGCAAATGCTTCTTATATACCAATCTAGCTCATTTTACCCAGGAGACTCAGGATTTTCTAAAAACATATATTAAGCTTTTTTTTTTTTTTTTTTTTTTAATAGCTTTTTTGGTGAGAACCTTCAACTCTGTCTCCAGAGAACTAATCCCTTAGTAACTTTCACATTAGAACACCAGTAGAACACCAGACTTAGTCACTTGAACAGTTCTTACATTTTGCACCTAAATCAAGGACTCCATTTCAGTAATATCCTAAAGCTAAGAAGCCTCTTCAGTGTCCCAGGGGTATTTTGACTTTCTCATAGATAGCAAACAAAAATAGCATCATGGTACTTGGAATAGGTCGTCGTTCATGAAAAAGCTTAAATCTACCTCAACATAAACATAAAACAAGATGGTGTACATTTATATATGTAGAACAACTCCTAAAGAAAAGGCCCTGGGATCCTAGTGGACAAGGAGCTGAACATGAACCAGAAGAATGCCTGGGAGCAAAGGCAGCCAGCAATAACCTGGGTTGTATTGAGGACTGCAGCCATACATAGAGGGTAGTGCCCTTACTCCGGATTTACCTTTCAACCTGGAATATCCTCCTCTTCTGTGTATAAAGAAATAGATACTTATATATCGCTCTATAAAAATATACATACTATTCTGAAACTTGAGAGTAACGGAGAATTTATAGTATATCTAGATATATGTTATACACACACACAGAGGAAATTTGTTTTCAATAGTGAAATCATCTTTTCTTAAGGGATCCCTATGGGCTATAAACATGGTGATGCAATTAGACAGCGAGTCTTAGTTTCATTTCTGTGTGTAAACTAGCCTTTCCTTTGAACTTCAACCTGACTTCATCTGCAAATAGACCATAAAAGCTACAAAAAGCTGCAACATTGCAATTGAACTTTCTAAAGGATTCAGACACAGACATGTTATAAATTCTCCACACAAGATGTAYATATTCTCTCAGGCCTTGGTGCTGTCTTTTCGTCTTTCACTTTTTTTATGTCCATTCCAGCTGTCCTGGAAGACAAGCCTTTAACAAGAGGAGAGGTAGGAAAGGACAGACTAAGCTCCTACTGGGATAACTACCATATTCTTCTGTGATCATGACCATCTAGCCTCAATTAACACCRACGGGCTATAAACAACATGTTTACAAATGCAGAGTAACAGAATGCTTTTCTAAATGAAACATTTACTACCAAGCAAGAATATTAGTGAACTTGAGACATGATAATAATTACTGCCTATGAAAACTTTTCAGCTCTAGAGTCTTAATTATCATTACAGTGAACTTTTATATACGCAAATATCTCTGTAATTAAGACGTTTCATATTGACAGTCTTATGCTGAGATTATGTGAGCATAGCTGGTTTAGAGTTAAATTATTCTCCAGATACACATCTTTTCTAGCACTAATGATGTGAAAGCAGCTTGTATGAGATAATTTTTRTCTTCTCCAATAATTTCAAATAGGGTTTCTTTTCACAGTTACTTTCCTCTTCAATCATAAAACTCAGCTTTATATTATGCACGTCACAAGACTCATTCTGAAGGTTCTGCGATTTGTCATCAGGCTTACTGAAAAGAGAAAATCAGGTAAAGAATAGAAGTTTTTCTCATTTGCACAACTGTGTAAACCATGAGTTTTGTATTAAGACTTGGAGGGGCTCACAATGTAGAGTTTGCTCTAAATTGCTGCAATTCTTTTCTCCAGTATCCAGTTTCAGAGCAATGCTTGAAACAGCTGCTACTGGTCAAAAGGATATTTCATAAATTTATGTCTGCATTATCTGTGCAAATAAGTGTCCAAGTTTAAATCTTCTGTTCCCCACCACAGAGAAAATGAACAAGACTGGTTTCGAAAGGATCCTTCGTGCAAAACAGCTGGAGTAGAGAGAATTTGCTTTCCAACATTTTTACTGGTGCCAAGTCCAGAGAATTTGTTAGCGGGTGTAGACTTTAAAGAAAATGCAAACTCTGGAATTTTAGACTAAGATAAATTTCTTTCTTAGTAAGGACAACTGCTTGGACTCTTAGTATATACATGAGTGAAACCAAAACAAGTAGTTTGAGAGTACTTGTATAAATGAAGCCAGTAAAGACATCAATGTTTAGATTTAATAAAATTTACATATGGTTGTTTGTTGACATGCAAAACTGGAATGTTTCTTAAATACTTAGCCTTTTTAAAAAAAATATATGTTTCTTAGAATTTTATCTTGGAGCATTCATGAATTAAGCATTGATAGGAATAATGAAAAAAGAAGCAYGCTTGGAATTAGATGGATAATACAGTACATTAAGAAATCTAAGGGAGAGAATTAGAAGAATATTTTTGTGGCAACTCATGTCAGATGACTTCTGTTTGGGTGACTGGCTTACAAATTGTCTGTTTTTTTTTTAAATCTAATTTGTGCTTTCAATAGCAATGCTATATATATGCACATGCAAGCAATGGAAGTCCATTCCAGACCTACAAAGCAGAATATTCTCTTCTGTTGCCTTTATTTTTTTAAACAATTTTGTGTATTTTTTGTGTTATGCACATTAAGCTATCATCCATCTATAAACTAAGTTTCAAATAATGGCTATACATGTACCTTTTAAAAATTATTTCCTATTTGCTTTTGAATTTTGAAATCTTAATATATGAGTGACCTATCTCTACAGATTCAAGAAACCAGCTGTATTTCAGATGTTCTTGCATTTTATTGTGAGTAATATAATCCATTAATTCAGACAGAAAATGGAAAGAGAAGCAGTGGAGGAACTTACATACAGTAATTTTGTCATTAAATTTTGACCATTTAGAAATATTGCTTAGTCTGCAAGTGGAAATAAGATAATTGGCCTTATCCTAGTTCTTGTTGAGAAAATCACTACCCACTGTTATATAACTGCAAGTCTCTGTTCAACAGAGATGCAGGCCTAAAATAATTACATGGTGCTCTTACTTCGGCATGATGGAATCTCACAATACTTCCAATATACTCCATCCTCGTGCTCTGCAATGTAGCACCATGGGCTGACATCTCCATCAGGATTCCTGAGATAAAAAAATAGACAGAGTAAGCAAAGAGTCATCATGTATTGTAAAAGATCACATGAAAGTCAGCTTTACTAATCTTAAGTTTCAGCACTATTTTTATTTTAATTCTTATTGAATATTTAACTAACTGGGCTTACATACCAAGAATAATGCAGACGTTTGGCAGAGGTACACATAACTTTGGTTACTATAGTACACAGCAAGCACAAAAGGTTAGTAAATTCTGAAACAAACTTTTTTTTCCCCATCTGAACTCTCTTTTTTCCCCCTCTAACTTTAAAAGTGCGGATAAGATACAGAGAGCAAGGGGAGGATTTTTAGCAGCATGTGCTAAGTTCCTTAGATGTCTAAACCTGGGTCCTGCCTAGGTACAAACACATTTTCCAGCCTCAAGTTTTCTATATATAATACAAAACCATATGCCTGATAAAGATTTAGGGAAGATGGAACTCTTTTCTTCCCCCTCAGTAAGGTTGAATCAGTATCTTTCAGTGATCTAATACATTGTCTGGTTGAGATCACTGGTTATTTGTCCATGATTATTCATTGCTTCTGTGTAGCATCTTTTACAAATGCACTCCTAAATATTCTTTAGTTTAATTAAAGTTTTGTTTTCATATGCACTTTTAAAAGCTATGTACATGAGAAAGAATAGTTTAACAAAATAAATTGTTATTCTGGACAGTGGGGCAGAACTATGATTCTGTATCTAGGGCTAGAATTAATAATTTTATCATGCATTTTGGCATCCTTTGTATAATACCTCCTACAGTGAAATATTAGTTTGTCTACATGTTGTCACTGGAATATGTTATAAATACTTTGTGTGAGGTCCAGTTTTAGAACTGCCAGAGATATTTTTGGTCAAACAGCTGAATATTGGAGACAGCTGGTGAGCTGAGTTCAGTTGATTAAAATGGCAAAGCTGCTGCTGCTGCTCAGGCTTTCAAACACACTGGTGAAAGCAGCTGAAGTAAAAAGCCCAAGATTAGAGTACTATGAATTTGGGTATAGTATCAGCAGTTCTAGTGGCTAAAGAAAGTAGGAATATAAAAGCAACTGATGGATGATCATCAGTAGTGATGTACTGGAAATAAGACAATTTTCCTCACTTTCACAGCTACAGGACATTTTAATATGATTAGAAGTCTTTGCCTTAGACCTAAAAAGTGTACAATTAGAAAAAAATAGAGTGTGTTTCAGAATTTCTGACATCTTCAGTCTGCAAAGTTCAGTCCTGGGTACAAAAAAATTTAGCAAAACATTAAAAGGCACTTCCATCTTAACAAGTTATTTGACAGAAAAGAAAGTATTCCAGGTAAGGGACTGATATGGAGAGATAGCATCCTTCTGATCAATGCTTTGAAGTACAAAATAAGATTATTCAAATACTGTCCTTAAAATTAAGCTTCAAAGTAAAGTTGATCATGTCTTAAGTCTTGTGAGATATGTGTTGCCACTGAGGAGAATCTTGTCCATTGTCAAGCAGGAAATGATTATCAGAGAAATAGATAAATCAGTGGTATTCTGACTCACAAATCTTAGACATGTTTTGCATACTAAAGATATGCTGAGACACTCTTCAAACAGTGACTTTCAAAACTATTTTTCAACAGAATGTGAACTTAAAAAGCCATCACTTAGGATCACCTTTCCATACATCTCTGAGAATATGCCAGAGTCAGCTGATATATAGTAAAAGAAGAAAATGGTCACACGTCCAGCCAAACTCAATCTTGAAGAAGGAAATTAGCCTAAAAGAATTAGATTTTAAAAAACGGCATTTGACATTGCTCAGAATTCTATACCAGATTATAGGCTTTTTGCTCCATGTAACACTTGTCAAATTCTCACTTGCTAAAATGAGAATTAGTTACAGGAAAACTATTTTGATAGAAATAGCTATAGAACTCTAATAAGAATTAGTTGAATAACAGGATTATTAACGTCCAGTTTGTTTTGCACATTCTGCCTCTAGTATGATGTCTGACATGTTCATGGACATGTATCGCTTTGCATTAGCATAAGTATTAGCAGGCGACCACTGCCAAAACAAAGACACTCGTTTGTCTACCTGGGATACTGCCACACAGCAACAAACAGAATTACTTTCTTGATTCTGATATTTGTATCACAGTGGCCTCTAGCCTTTCGCTAGATCTGTATCAGTTTGCTTCCTGAGACACATCTCTCCATGTCGTAAAGACCTTTATGCTTTTGGTCTTGTTGGGCTGAGGCAGCAGAGGGCTGTAAGAATGACACAAAACGTTTTTGGTTAAAGCAATTCCTCCTGTGATCAGGTAGCAATCTGAGACTAGACAGCTTGGTAGGTTTCGATGGCTTCCAGGCCACTTTCACAGAAGAATGTCCAACTTTAGGGAGTTTCTCTTTTAATTGGGTAGTAATTTTCTTTGCTTTTACAAGATGCTGAAGTGATCCAAAGAAAGTCAATCCAGAACTTGACAATAACAAAATCAGGCTTCTGGACGAGGCTGAAAATCATGATGGTTCAGACGCTTCTACAAACATTTCCTAGTGCCTTTTTGCTCCTGACTTGAAGTGATTTTGTTGTGTGTTTGTTTACATTCCACCTTAATTAAGCAATGACTAATCTGTCTCTGTTATGCCAGATTACAGATTGGTTATATATTATCCTAGATGAGATCTGGATTCCTCTACTAATTGTGCTTGTATGTTGAATGAAGGATCCAGGGTACTGACCATAAGGTAAAACAATGTCTATTTGATATCCATGTCTCTGACATTCTTCACTATATAATGGAAAATTCCCCAATTTTGTGTCAACTGCTTAAAGTAACACTGGGTATAGAAGCAATGTAAGTAGCAATGAGACACTCCTTACCTGCAGTAGTTATGCTCTCCAAGCCCTCCCTCCCCATTGGGATATTTCAAAGTATTATAGGGATGCTCAAAGGTCTCATTCCAAAAAAGACAAGGTTTCCCTGCATACTGGGCCGTCTGGTTCTGAGTGCCACGATAGTCAGCCCCATTTGCTGTATAACATTCTGGGAAGAAATGGAAAGAGAGAGAGAGAGAGAGAGAGAGAGAGAGAGAGAAATGTATGTAGGTTTGCTGTTTGGCTGGCCCCCATTCTCCCACCCCCAAAAGCCTAGTTTCCTTTTACTACAATGCTTTCTGCATTCTTTAGGCCCTTAAAGCTGCTTTCTGGGATTTACATATTCTCTCAGAGCCAAATATCTCTTGAGGGGGGAATACTGATTTCATTATTTATACTAAACATTGTTTAAGGTGCTTATCAATTATGTCTGAAAAGTGATTAATAAAATTAAAATACATTTTCTGAATGAGTATACTACATTTTGCACTGTTTTCCTGGTTAGGTTGAATCTGTAAATTGTAAATTTTCCAAAAAACAAGATTAGGTGATGTTATCATCCTGCCATTTATCAGCATATTACTGAGTTCTCCTCTAGTTTCAATACATTTGTGATCCTCTGTACTTTATAAAGTGAAAGACTGTTTTTAGGCATGACTGGCAAACCTTCACATCATGATTTAGAAAAATAGTTAGATATGTTAGGGATATTTTTTCCTCCAGCCTGAATTGCTTTACAAAGGGATTTCATTATATAGAATATATAATCATGGTACTGTGATTTGCCATTACAGCATTTATTTTGTTCAAATTAAAGCTTACAAGTCAGTATTTTTCTGCTTTATTCATATACCTTCTCCCATTTATGTCTTCTTCCCTTACATCCTAATATTCATTAAACTGGATTTTTCCCTAAAAATATATTATCTGTAATTTTCCTAGAAATACACAATCTTATTTCTCATGCTTCCTCATTCTTCTGTCTTATTAATGCCATTTTCTACAAATAAACTAGAAGCAATATTTACTAAAATCCACTCAGAAATTTGAGGAATGCTGTAATACCTGACTGTTATCTGGCACACACATTAAACAGAAGCTTATGTCAGTCTGTTTCAGGCTCAGCTAAGACTGGCCATGTTTTAACTTGCAGTAGCAGCTGCTTTGCATTTTGATGTTCAGCTTTTTTCTTGCTCTTTGAATAGGTTTCCTTCGAACTTCAGTGCAGCAGGAATTAAAGTATATCCTGTTGCATGAGAAGAAGAGCCAGAAGTGCCATCATGCCTTTTAGCTATAATATACTATTCTCCAGACAATAAGTAGCTGTAACACTGTCTCTTCTGTTTTTTTTTTTTTTTTTTTTTTTTGCTACTGCCAGGAGATTTGGAAATGTGCCAGGTGACTCACAATGACAATCCATTGACTTTGTTATCATCTATATGTGGGAGGGCAAAGGGATAGGATATCATATAAAACCATTGATTACCCCAGCAATACTGAAATTTAAAATACRTTTAAATTATGGGCTCTACTAGCTATTATCAAATTATATAAATGCTTGATTTCTTAAAGGGAAGTTGTTAGAAATTTTTCTTTTTTTAATGAATAATCATAATCTTGCTGTACTACAAGAGTGCAGATTTTTCAAGTAAATATTGGTTTACAAAAGAATCAAGATTTCAATGCTAATTTTATTTTTTAACTTGAACTTTTTTTAACTAGTTAGTAGTTAACTAAATAGTTAACTAATTAATTAATTAGTTTTTACCAAGCTAGAGTTGTATATATTGTACTGTTTTCTCTAAAATATCTGGGAAAATTGATAAAGATCCCTGAGCATATTCATTATCTTGGCAGTAAGTAGCTGCTTTAATTTAGAATACATATTGATTTCTCTGTATTCTGCTGCATAACATGCAGGCACTACCTTASTGACCTCACCATGCCATTAATATTAAGGACATGGTGAAGGTGAGAAGCGAAGGTCCCACTGCAGACAGACCACAGCCCTTTCCACTTTAGACCCACAGCTGCTCTTTCAAGACAAACAGTCTAAAAGATTCCAGAAAATAGGTTGGGACCTCTGCTCCACAGCTACAATGATTCTGTGAAGAGATGTGCTTAAAATATCCAGCAGATTGATCTCCACAAACTAAGCCAGGAAAGAATCATCTGAATAAAATAATCATAAAAAGGTGGACTGAACAGAACAGATAAAACTCAGGGTTACTCCAGTTACTTGCTTTCTCCTTGGTAGATTATGATCAATTAGGAGAGAAAAAAAAACAAACACAAAACAACAACAACAACGAAACTATCTTAACTGGTCTGTCACCCACTGGATCTTACTAGCTTGTATTGGCTGATACGCCCATACCACTTGCGTTACAGAAACTTTAGCTTCAAACACAAARTCAGAACAGAGACCCAAAGATATTAATATCAGTTATTTGAATTAAAAAAAGCTCTATTCCTTAAAGTTTTGTAAGACTACAGCATACTTTGATAGAACTTGTGCAACCTAACAGTCTTCTCTGGCCAATGAAGACAGCAAGAAAAGAAGATATACTTTGTGGAAGTTACTGCCGAGAGCTTCCTAGAAGAAAAGGTCATGGAGAAAACTATGCCCACTCAAATTTTGAAGTCTCTGGGCTCCTCATATTTCTAAGATCCTAGTTAGCTGGGTTTCAGACTTAGTCTGAAGTAGAGGTTTGTGTCACACCAATGAATAATCCTAAAGTGTCCTAAAGATGATGTCTGTCACTCTGTTAACCGCCTAATGACTCTGCTGTTTCTACTGTTTCATGAGGGTATCTGCAAATAGAATTAATCAGAAATAAAACCACTGCAGAGGTTTTATTCATGAAAAGCTTGAAAGCCCAACAGGTCTTGTTCAAGATAATGTTTATGGGCCTGTGTGAAAACACAGGCTGCAATGTACTGTCAGGGTCGTTTTTATTTCAGTACATCAGATGCCACAGTTCAAAAAAAAWTTTTTTWAATCATTACTGAGAGTAGACAAGTATTGAGTGGCAACTGCAAGTAAGAAAAAGCAAAGAAATAAGCCTTATGATGGCTATCCACCATGAATGATCCGTGTGCAATACAGGTTCACAATTAGTTTCATTTGAGCCAGATCAACGTTTGGAAGATCAAACAGCAGCTGTAATATAAATTTTTTCCATCTGCCTTGATTTCTTCTTCGATGTAGGGACCTTACAATGATCATTTATGTCTTTGTTATGTCAAGACTGCATGGATGCCTGCACTCCACATGGATGCCCCTTTAGGATCATTTGAAAAATTAAGGTAGTGCAGAATTATAGCCATACTGTATGAACCACTGAAGATAAAACACTGAAATTTCAGAATATGTATTGGCTGCCAATGATTTGGTAAGATGGAGTTCCAGTTATAGTATTCTTTTGTAGTATCCTCAGGTACCTCAGAAACTCTAATTTCATGATGTGTAATCCAAGGTAGAAACAGTCTTTTTTTGCAAAGTTAATTTAATAAATAAATAAATAAATAAATAAACCCAAAGCAAACAAAAATAACACTCCAGCTATCTACTTCTCAATCATTCTTCCCTTTCTGTCTGACAAGGATGAAATTTTATCCATCTTTTAAGAATTCTTCAAAGCCTACCTTTTCTCAAAGACCTTTATTTAGTCACATTGCAAATTTCAGACTAAAGAAATGGAAGTTTCAGAATGGCTTAAATGACATCTTAGAGTGCTCTTTCTAGCTTTTGAGTGAGTTTATTAGAAAGTTCAGAATGACAAATTAATGTAACTGTTTCACCAAAAACAGAAAGATTCTTGATTAATTTGTTCGCTTTACATTTGGGAAGCTACTTGGAGCTATGCCTTGCTGTCAGAGAATCTGAAGTTGATCACAATTGGCCAGAAATGACCCTACTAGCCACAGCCAGACAAGAAGCAAGGTTTTCTTTTCAGAATCTGAAGATTAAAGGATAATACAAAGTGAAAGAAAGTGGCTGCCATTTATACCTTAGGTTTCATTACAGTGATATGAATCGAGAATACTAAATGCTCTGTAAGGCTCCAGCGAGAGATAAAGATTCCTGTAATGCACCTGGTATAACTGCTTGCTCGGTTATCACTTGTTTTTCTTGAAATCTTTCAGAAGAGCAGACAAATGCTTGAGCAGAATTTAAGAATTTGGAACTAAAGGTGTCAGATTTGATAACAGCTAGGTGTCACTTGCTTAATGCACATGCTTGCACTGTTTTAAGAAAAGTTTCAAGTTATTTCCAGTCTATCTAAACTGCTTCCAAAGTTCTTGTTCAAGCTTGTAATTTCAGCACTCCTCCTTAAATAAAAGCACTTTATCTAGGTGCAGATGGCAACAGTTACAGGCACTAACCAGATGCTGCAGTCTCTAATTTGATTGAAAGGGTATAATTAGACAGCAGAAACACTTCAATGAGAGAGTAACGCACAGAGGGAAGGACAGAAACCACTTAACTGATGCCAAGATACCCCAGCAATGAGAGGTAGGGGCCCATGGATGGAATAGGCAGAACACCAAATTACCTTCTTCAGATGAGAACTTTTTTTGTTTCCCTATGGACATACGAGTAGGGATTTTATTATCGTAGGTTGCCACAATTCTTTATGTGGGAACATTGATTAAAAACAGAAGCTGTAACGGGGGATCAAAGAGGGAAATATGGCTTCTGTGGTCATTATTAAAAATATTTTTAGCAGTAGAATGGTTTTCTTTGAAGATGCAATTTTAGTGATTGAACCAAAAGTTCATTTGCATATTTCCATCTGATTGGTCAGAAAAATCTCATTCTGTATTATACTATAATGCAAAATAGATGCTTTGGAGAAGTATATGACTCTTGTAGATCTCCCCAACTGAAAACCAATGCAGCATTTTTACATTTCACTATCTTACCATTCCAAGTGCTACCAATGGAACAGAAGTACTTAACAAAACTATAATGTTTGGATGCCTACACTATAATTGTAGAAAACTATGACAGCTGATATAAACTACAGAGTAAAAAAATCAGGAAAGAATCATCTATGTTTAAAAACATGATTTTCAAATTGCTAAAAATGTTTACCCATTTGTTAATTCACCCAATAAGAAACTGATATGATGTCAACAAGTTAGCTGATGATTTCTCCCTTTGCAATGTAGGGGTATTTTGATATAGTTTTAAAAAGCTCTCTCACTCTTTGTTTTCATAAGCACATGTATATACATAATCTTTTAAAATCTTCACATACAACCATTTTCTCTGCTCAGCACCAGAGGCTTTTTTTAGCATTGTCCCAAAGCAGAGGGCAGATGCAGTGCGTACCCACCTGACACTTTTTCAAACATCAACTTAAGCAGCTTGTCCACTACAGATGAGCCTGGGGATATATGGACATGTGCAGTCGCATATTTTTGCTCTCTAGCACATATGTCACAGTTCATGCATTGTTGCTATGTCTGCTATCTGTAAATGCTGCCTTTTTATTTATATAATACAAACACACTGTATTACCCACAGCTTTACAGTTGCCGGCTGGTCTTCAGACACAAAATGATAAATATATTTGACTTGTGATTCTTTACCTCTGCAAGTAAGAATGCATGATGTGACCCCAGAGGAATTTCTGTTCCTTAATACAACAGTTTGTTTGCTTTATGAAATTTTAAAATTGTTCTACCGTCATGTGCAGTACATTGCACAAGAGTCCCTTTTGAAATTTTACTAGAATGGGCCATGGCCGCTGTGTGGATGGAGACAGTGTCAGTCACACAATTATTATAGTGATATGACAAAGACTGCAAACTGTGCAGCCAGCTGCATGACAATTCCTGCCTCCTTTCCACTCCTTTAGTTTCACCCTGCTTAAATTCATTCACATAACTCTAGATTTTGAATCACACTCTCCGCACATGCAAACACAACACACTGAAGTGTCTGACTGACTGTTTCATTTTATGGCTAGTCAGAAATGCTGCTTAAAGTATTTCCAGGACAGCTGCTCAAGGCATATTAGGTCAAACTGCATCACTGCATCAGCAAAATATAAACAGAAAAGGGGTGACAAGAACGATAGGTGCTTTGTCAGAAATGGTTGAAGTACTAACCTAAAGGAAAGATTCAGCTGAGAAGGAAAACAAACACAAGACAATCCACTATTACTGAATGGGAAGACAATAGAGAAAGAAAAAAGACATTGTCAATCTTAGACATTCCTGATGGGCAAACTAAATGAGCTCTACAAATACAGAAACTGGAAGTGAGAATGTACTACATTAAGTACATAAAAAACATGTTTATTCATTGAGACTATAATTAGAGGAAGCCATTTCAATTTCACCAGCTTTGCAATATCAAGCTCATGAAATTCAGGCAGTCCTTTAATCATAGGCAGTCTATTTACTCACCTTTAATTTCATATTTGCTTATGAAATGTGGTATGACTCAAGTTTGAATGCTGCAAAGTTGAATGTTTGAATTAATAAAAACTGATACATGACTCCATCTTCACTGTTCTGTGAAATGTAGCACAGTATTAAGTACAAAAATGACCGTCAACTCTAATCGGTGTCTAATTCAAGTAAGTTTTTATCAGGCAATTCTGGAAGTCAAAATTTCTCTCTCAACTTGGGAAACGTGTTGCATTTTCAGACTACACTTTCTACAACACTATGAAATCTTGTATTCAATAAAGAAAAAAAAAAAAGGTGTTAAAAATACACCACAAGGCAAACTACCTTAATGAAGAAATTAATGTTTAGAATTCTGAAACACATGCTTTGCTTTAAGGGCTTCTTGGCCCAGCTCATCCTGCTTCAGTCAGGAAATTGGCAGTCATTCTGCAACTTGCTTAAGCATGGGGTGCATAACCCACACAAATAACAGTGCCTGATAGTACTATGAACAGACCCTTAGGTGAGATCCAGATTTGTTCTTCTCTGTGCAGCTCTCAGCCTGCCTAGATGCTTACCTGAAAGTATTCTTATGTTTTACTCCAGATAACTGAAGTTCCTTCTGAGAAAGGGTAAAGTTTACCTTTTGAGAACTCTCTCTGGCAAAAGGACCTTTTTTTTTTTTTTTTCCCCATGAAAGTCTGCTAATTATCTCCAAAATTAAGTGCATCTACAAAAACTAAAAGCTGATATTTCATTAAAATGTGATGACAAAAAGTGATTAACAAATTTTTCTTTACAGTAAACCACACACAACAAATTATGGGTTCATTTAATGAGTAAATCTATCCCTTAATCTACTATAAAGAATGATTTAAGGATTAGAATATGCAAAATGCTTGGTCTAGGAGGACCAAACAAGTCGGACCATCTACTACAGATGGTGAAAAGCAGGACTAGCGCGCACATGCAGAGAAAGGAGATGCTTGAAATCATCAGCAAGTGGGATGAGGAAAAAAGCTGCAAAGAAATTCTAAATGAAACATCACAGAAACCTCTCTGATAGGGAGCGACTTTTCGGGTTCCTGGGCTGACTGGCTGACTGGGTGAGCGCGTGTGCGGCCGGAGGAGTCCGTGTTTGACGGGCGCCGGGGCGGCGGCTGCAGAGGGCGCGGCGGCTCCCACCAAGCTCTGGTTCCGCCGTCTCTATCCTGTCCTGATGCCACTTGCGGTTTTGATAACCCCGTTTACCCACTCCCTTCTCCCTGTAGATGCCCCCGTGTTGCAGCCCTGCCTACAAAACCACTTCGACAAAGAAACACATCGCTCTTACTCTTACCTCACGTTTCCGCATGTTTCCCAAACTCCGCTCTTACCAAGCACCAGGAGACTCAAGAACAGCCGCACGCGACTAACAGCGCACGAAACTCCGCCGTGTAGATCTGCACGAGCAGCTACGTCCCGTGCACCGACTCGGCAGACGAGAGCGGCGTTGCCGCGGGCTCCCGGAGGTGCTGCTGGGCGGCGGAACCGGAGAGGGGGCGGCCGCGCTCCCGCTGTCGGCCCGGCCAGACACAGCCCTGACGCGCCGCGCTCGGTACCCCACTCTGTACCCCGCCCCGTGCCCGGCGTCACTCACCAGAGAGCAGCGGCTCACGGCAGCAGCTCAGCGCTAGCCCCGCCACGGTCAGGGCGGCGGCGAGCGCGCGGGGCTCCATGGCGGCGCCGCTCGCCGCGGCTCCGGTCAGGGGCGGAGGCGGCGGCCGGGAAGCGCGCTAAGTGCGGGAAGCGGAGGCCCTACAGCGTGTCCCGTAACTGCGCCCCGGCGAGGTGCCGAGTGGCAGATCAGGGATCCTATTACCAGCCATGTGACAGGAAAGGATAGAAACTAACACCCCAACCTGCTGCAGCGCCGACCGCTGAGCTACTGCTTTTGACCGTGACACGATGCGTCTGGGCTCCGCGGGGCCTTTCCGGCGCGCGGTGTCTCCTCCTCCTGCTGGCCTGCGCCCCGCGCTTGCCCGCGGCAGGGGCCAGGCAGGAGCCCGCCAGCCCCGCGGCGAGGCCGAGGGCTCCGCTGCGGCCGCCTGCTGTCCCGCCACCCCGTTGCCCTGCCCCCGTGGCCTGCTGTCCCGCCACCCCTCTATCCTGCTGCCTCGACGTCCTGCCGCCCCGCCATGGACAGGGGAACCGTGATCTCCCATCATCAGGCTGGGTCCTGCAGACTGCAGACTGCCCTTCCACGCCAGTGGTGCCTGCTAACAGGCGACAGTGAGCAGATGCAACACAGCTTTCTTTGCTGCAAGGAAATAACATCAACCAAACAAACCCGCCAAAATCTTGGCACTCGACAACTGAAGCTTTGCTGCTCAGGACCTTGGGATGCAGAAACCTGGATCCCCAAGCACAGCAGGCAATAGGGATGTGGTGGTCATGGGAAGGGTACTGTGACACCGCTGTCCTAAGCCCCCATGGTGAAAGTGTGGAGGTGTACACACACACACACAGGAACATGTGCACTCACACACCCCCACATGCATGCCAGGGGATACACGTACATGCACAGACACAAGCAAACAGCCATACATATGCAGGTGCACACACACATGTGCATACATGCACTCACACACAGAGGTACACACATGGACACAATACTCCAAGGGCACACAGATGCAGACGTACATGGGCACAGACTTCGAGACACACATATGCATAGGGACAGACCTATGCACACACACATGCATGTATATACCCCAGGTGAGAGGCTGTGGCTCACTTTGTGGACAACCTTTGAAGGAATGGTAGCAAGGTTATCATCAGGACAGTGACTGTAAATGCAAGGACGCTTGTCTTGTTCAGCTACATGCAAGCAGTGAAACTGATTCTTTATTATGGTGGTACATTACAAAGCCACTGACAATTTCTACAAAGGTTTTATAGCTGGCCTGTGAGCATTTTTATCTGACAGGCAGTTGAATAACAACAGATTTTGAAAAAATCCTTTGATATTTACCAGAAATGAAAGTTTTATTTTCCGATTTTTTTTTTTTTTTGGTTGCATCCCTTTAAAAAATTCATGTCATTTGCAATGAGTATTCTGCAAGAATACAATGTTTAAATATTTTCAGCATCTCTTCCTTTCGATCAAAAAAAGGAAAAAATGTAAATTCAACTGACTTGCAGGTGTTTTTTATCCATCTGACTCTGCATCCTCTTTCAAATTTTCCACATTACATGCCTCAGGGAAGGTCCTTCTTTAGACAATGGCCAGCAGTAGAGACTAGGGTTATTTTTGTTTTATCTGTTTTCAAGTGAAAGCATAAATAATAGAAGTGCAGAAAAATTACAAACTCTTTGTTTTCTTTCTCAAAACTGTAGTTCTACTGAGGAAGGTGTGATTAAGATAAGAAACTAATGCATATAACTTTCATGCCTTCAGAGGCATTATCATTTGCTTTTGATACACAATAGGCTGAATGTGCCATGATAATCCCATGACATTAGTTAGCAGTTCTTACGCAATTCAACAGTTGTTGTATAGAAAGTAGAAATTAACTGTTAGCATACTGCATAAAACCATCACTTGTGTTTGAAAAATCTGTCCTTGGTTGATGTATAAAAAGATGCATGCTGCAGGTAATTTAATCCTCCACTACACTTTTTTCTGTATCTAATTGAAAACGTCTCTGGAATTTCACTGTTTCTTGTTCCGATGTAACTGGAACCTCAGAAACAAGCTTCTGGTTGTGTTTGTATCTTGGGAGGAAAAGATAAAAAAAAAAGCTGAGATAATTTAAAATAGTTATAATGTTACTGTTTAAAGCAGAATTAGAAGAATACAGGGATAGGTAGATTAGGAACATGTATCTTAAAGCACTCACTTCTGTGTAATTTCAGTACATATATTCGTTTCCCTGTTTCACACTGTTGAAGAGTCAAGATGCTTAAATCATCAAAATAAGTCATTGAATGATAAGTAACACTCTTTCTGAATGAGCAATGTTTAAAGAAATTACAGAATACTAAAGACTTGCTGTTATCCCTGTGAAATTATCCATTTCTCTTTTCTAGTAGGATGGTCTATGCTACAGAAGGAGAAGGAGAAACTGGGAAAATTTCTCTGGTTTGAAAATAATGATAACGAAGAGTCTGGACAGAAAACTGCTTTTGGAGGAGAAATCAGAAAGAATAAATAAATAAATAAATAAATAAATAAATAAAGGAACTCAAAACTCAACAGAAAATTCTGAACCTTATATTGTCTTTTAGCCGATCAGTAAGACTAGTCTAGGCATCTACTAGGCATCAGTAATAGTAGTACAACTGTTTCATACCAGTTGGTTAACAGTCTGAATGTGAGAATCATGTGTGTAAAATCTAACAAATTAGGGAGATTTCCCTTGTCTACACATTTTATATGTATCAAAAAATATTAATTGCTGMAGATGTCTACACTGTTTATATATATATGAAATGTGTGTGTGTGTATATATATATATAAAATGTATATATATGTATACACAGAGGAAGAAGAAAAAATGTGTGTGTTCCTTGTGAAGTATAAAAAAAAATGCTTAAGTGATTTAAAGGGGAGAGGCAAAATTTAGCACTCTAATAGACACAGAGCACCTGCAAAGATGAAACTTTGATGTTGGAAAGCCTTGGAGCCAAAATACTTTTGAAGTATTTTGTTAATATTGACTATCAGAATGGAACATAGAGCAGGTAAAATGTATCAGTCTTTTAAAACAAATGATTGAAAACTCACAGTAATTTATTATCTAACAAATGTTTTGAAGGGAGTTCTTTTGAATATACAATAGTTTTCCCAGTGAGTTGTATTTCTGTCAACTTTGGTACAAAGGTTCAAAGAATGTGCAAGAAAAAGATGCARTCCTTTAAATTCTATTCTCCCCTTTTGCACAAAAGCTATAAACATTCTCAAGGCAGATTCATGCATGCCTAAAGAAGATGGGAATAGGTTCAAAAATGTGTTAAGTTATGATGCCATGCAATACATTCTTCAGATACTTCCAATTTACCTACTGGTATTATCAGTACATCTGTTCTTAAATAGAACGCTTCTAGAGAGGTAAACTTATCACCTAGTAAGGAAATTATGACCTCAAATACTGTTCCTTTTCAATCAATTACATATTTGCTTGTCCTGATAACACACTCCCAACATTGCTTCATAGTGTTCCAGTAGAATATGAACTACTGAGACTTTTTTTTTAAATTTAAAAATAGTAGCAAAAAAGATATCATGTTGTTTTTCATTGAGAAAAAAAGAGTGAAAAGGGCATGATATTTGCTATTTCTTTAGTAGCTTCCTTTTTCTTTTCAGTTGAGTCCTTACCTCTCCTTTCTACACAAGAAAATCAGACGTGCCAGGACCACAAGACCAACAGCTCCAAATATACAGCCAAGCAGAATTACTTGCTTGACATCTACAAAAGAAGAAAGCAACCACAATAAAACAGTAAGGCACTGATACGTTTCTCATATGAATTAGTTTCAACGTAGTCACGTGAGAGTTTTTTAATTTGTGTATGTAGCACTTATATTTTACTACTCTCTGTATTTTAGGAGCAAAGAGGTAAAGAGTAGGAAGTCACATAATTTCTAATCATTTGAGGGTTAGGACAAGTGTCTGTGAAAGTTGTTCTAAAACAGGAGATAGGATGGTTAGTGGTCAATTTCATGAACTTCAAGGCTAATTTAGAATTCTACCCCAACAACTGACAATCTGTTTGATTGCTTTAAAAATTGCCCTTATATTTGCTTCAAGTAATTTCGGATGACTAAATAAGGATATGCTTATGTTACTATTCTAAAATGACTTATCAAGGACATGAATTTGTTTTGCTGTTCAAGTGAAACTTGCTTTACATTATATGACAGGGAATTTCCTAAAAATACTATGCAAATAGTAGTCTTTTGTCACTGAGACACTGTGGTAGCTTAAGGTGAACTAGGTTAAAGGTTCTGTCCTATTTGTGAACCTGTTAATAGCACTATGTGCATGTATCAGAGAATATGTAGTCTGTCTGGAGACAGAGGACCAGTGTGGTGTATCTGAGCTCTAATATATTTTTTCCTGCTTCTTCATTGATGTGTCATGTCTGTAGGAAGAATTACTCTAGCTACTGCCTAGTACACAGTGATAACAGTGATGTAATTCACACTTCTGTAACCCTTAAATAGGTAACTTGCTTACACTGGAGCTTGAGGAAAGAAGTGTGATAGATAAACAAGCATTAATTCTTCATCCTGTAACTTCTGTTTCAGGCAAAATAACTTATGTTTGATTCAAACACCACCGTGCAGACAGGTCTGWATGTATCCATCAAGCAATAAGAACTTTGCATTGGTCTTGGTAGCTTGGTCCAGTGGTGAATTGTCTGTATTGTGAAAACATTGTATTTTGCTATTGTGAAAACTTGGTATTCTACTTTTAATCTCAAGGAATCTATCTTAATTGTTACATGCTTTGCACTCATTCCCCTGGAAACCATAGATAAATCAAATTTTTTGAGTAAATCCACCTGGTATTTCGTTTCTTAAATAAAAGGCAGTGCTAATGATATCTCTGCCAACTTTCAAAAAAAAAAATGGTATTTACATAGAACCTAACCCTGAAAAATCAGACTTTGAAGTGATGAAAGGATGGCAAAGCTATGAAAGCAAAGTGTGTTTAACAATGCCAAATMATTGT